CCTGAGATGTAATGATCTATAACACTGACCACATTAATTCTAGTCAATACTGTTACTTGTAGTTCTATATTGTTCAAATGTATATGCAAAGACTGAGATAACTAGTTAAAGAGAAAGAAAGGACATCAAGGAAGTGATCACACAGAAAATTAATTAGGATATAGATTATATAATGGCATGGTTAAAGTTCAGATACAGTCATGTGACTTTTGGCCTAATTTTCCTTTTCTGCATCTGTTACTGGGAGTCTTGTTTCTTGTTTAATTTCTTAAGATTTTTTTAATAACTTACGTTATTTATCACATCTCTATCAGTTGAAAACATATTTTCTCAGTGTGATCTAGTCAATACTGGAAAGGATCGAATAATTTTAAGTGTATAGTTTTCCAACCACAGTTCACACTGAGAGGGAAGGCAATTCTAACCACACATTTAGCCATCATTATACTAACATCAGAGCTGGATATTAATGGAGACCTGTGGAAGAAAACTGAGCAGATCCCTTTATGACCTAGTTGTTCTTATGTAAAGGCTTTGTGTTGCATTTTTATCCGCAGTATGTAAATCTAAAAACTGTGTTGAACTGCAGAAAGGATGTGTGAGCATGCATTTGAACCATTTGAGACAATCAGATATTACTTGCTGCTGATCTTGAAAATAATTTTCAAGAACTAGACAGGAAACTTAAGTCTACTGAAGTGAGACCTTTCAGGGGCAGACAGCCTGACTTTGCTCCTGACACTGGTTGCTCATGTAAAATGCTGTAAGTGATGGAGTCCCAGGGTGTCCCAAGCATTTCTTCCCTGAGAAAGACCAGCTGATGATGACCCAGCAGTGGAAGGGATATCCCTCTTCCGATCCAACTGGGAGATGGAGTTCCTCATTTCACACTACTTTTGTTCCAAGAAGAGAGGTTTCAAAAGCACAAATGAGGACTTCTCATCAGCTACCTTTCCCCTGACCTGCAGTGAGTTAGTCTAATACTTCTTGTCAGATGTAAGGAAGACAGGCACCTAACATGACCTGCACTGCTCAAACTCTACTTCAAGATTCCTGTTCTTTTTACCCATACTGTCTTCCCTACATACGGGAAAATCTGGACAGCAATTTAACAAAATGCAGTCAGAAATCCCACAGTCTTCATGACATCAAGCAGAGACAAAAAGCAGTTGGCAAGGAGTAATAAATTCCCCAGTATTCAAGAAACTCAGATTGAGAAGTAGTACTGCATGTACTTCTAAAAGACCCATTAATATTCTTCTCATTAAAAACATTGCTCTCAAAGTCTTTCACTGTGTATTAGGCAATATTTAAATATCAACACTTTTTTATGGTAAAGTAACATCTGTCTCTGCTCTCCTTTGACCCTACAATCTCCCATGTAAGACAAAAAAGGGGGGAAAAGCAAATGCCCTGAAAAAATGGAACAGCAGAGAAAAGGATGTGGAAACTTGAGGAATAATAGTATTAAGGGTTTCAAATCTTAAATGAGACAGAAAGTCTCAGCTTCAGAGCCTGCAAAAAATAAAGCAGCAAAAATTTCCATTTTCTCCTTCTGATTTAAAAGTTTTTCTCCACCTCTGACTTTTTTTGAAACATCATTTATTGATTTTAGACCTAGAAATGGATGTGTTCACTACACATTAATTCTTTGTCTGCCTGAATAACAGATCAGAAGCTATTAGGCTATACCTCCACAACTTCACAGGTGAGGTGAGAATACTAGCAACACTGAAGAGACAAGTGGGAATGCAGAGAGGAATATATTATTATACATAAACATACTGTGCAAAACCATACATATTTCATATTTTTCTATGTAGAGTCTAAGATGATGTTTAAAGTCAAGAAGGCCCTGAATGATAAGGGGTTTGGCTAAACCCTTGTTCTGACAGTGCTTAAACTCTACTAAGATGCCTGACTGTATATGTTACACTGGTGAATCTGAGCATGAACTCTTCTGAAAGGATACTTTGATGCTCCTTTTAAGTAGAAAACCCCAGGCTTATATACAGAAAATAAGTATCTGCAGCAACTAAAAAGAACATGGCACATTCATATCCATTTTGACCCCAAACTAGAGGCTATGTTGTTTGGAAATAATCACTTTATCTGATAACACTTACATAAAGTATTTGAATATAAAACAAAGCAATCTCAACGTAATACTGCTTGTTACAGAAGGAATACATGCTTCTATAAAAGGAAAAATTATTATCCTGTTTACAACTATGAGGAGCACTCAGTTCTAGATTTCTTACCTGTCCTAATCTGACACGCTGGGGAAATAAAAGAGGAAGGAGGTTGGTTTTCAGATAGTGAAGGAAGGAAAAGTTTGTTGTCATTTGCTTACAAAAACTTTTCAAAAGTCAAATGCAGAACATTTTTAGATGTGCTTGAGCAGGAAAAGACTTTGTCCAGGCATCCAGCTCATGGACAGAATGTTATTTATTTATACCATCATGGAGGGTGACAACTAGTCAGTGCTACCTGTCCTTAGAAAGACTGTAGAGAAGAGCATACTGTGACTTTAAGATGAGATAAAAATAGCACAATGGAAAACAAAATTCACTGCTTCTTTCTTGCATTTCAGCCATCTTTCACCCATTTTCAGTGAGCATGTTAATTTTCTTAAATCAGCAGAAATGCTAAAGCAGTAATGTATTTAGAAATACTGAGTAGTTTTCTATAATTGTGCTACTTAAAGCTCTGTATGAAAACCAGGGCATTGAAGATTTAGGGGTCTTTTATAATATTTAATAATAATTAGACTGTATTTTATCATATTTGCTATGACTCTCCTTTCATTTTTTCACTATTTAGTATAGCTTCATCCCAATTAAACTGTTTTACTGCCCAGGAAGACTTGATCATTCAGGATGGACATTAGTCCACAAAAATATATTCTACAGTGGTTGTATATTCCAAAACAAAACCTTGAATAAAAAAATTTCAAAAGCAAGTTGACTAATCTATGTCCTTAGGCAAATGTCTGCCTACTGGCTGGGACATGACAATATATATAACAGAAAAAGTTAGTAACTCTGTTATGTACCTAAAAGGAATTAAAGTATATATATATAAAAAGCTAAAATGGCAATTTAAAATACCCTTAATAAAATACAGCATTATAGTGTTGCTTTTCTCCCAAGCGGAAAGTTTTCTTCATTGCAACAACTAAGCACAGAGCAAATTAAAAAGCAATATATTCCATAAAACTGTCAGCATTGGCAAGTAGTGCCCCCTCTCACCATATAACAACTATGCTTTTGAAATATGAGCACTCTACTGAAATGCACGCTTGTTCAGGAGCTCGAAGAAAGGCTTCTCTTAAGGCTGTTGTATTACCAAAACTGCCTGCCTAACAACACTGATGGCTCTTAAAGATAAGATGAGCAGCACTTAGATTCCACCTGAACATCTGGTGCCCAGTCACAGAACACCAAATAAGATTTTATAGCCCCCAGTGCTGCAGAAATAACAAAGAGTCAGCTCAGAAAGTTACTGTAGACACCACAGAAAACATTACACCTTTCTGATCTAGTTTGTCATTCCAAGAAGGAATGTAAGTGGTTACTGGGCATGAAACCTTCTCAGTTCTTCAAAGGAAGCCATTCAGTTCTCTGTTCCTCTAGCTAATGAAATGTCCTACAAGCTACAAAAGTCCTGGAACTAGTCTATTACCTAATGAAGTCATGCATATTTCCTTAAATGTTTGCCTTCCTCATACAAAGAAGGAGCTTGGTATGCTACCCACAGAGAAAATGGCAAACTCACAGCTGACAGCAGAATTAAGATGAGGGCATAAATGAATAACAAAATCAAAACTATGAGAGCATACAGGAGGAATAAGGGAAAGAACATGAAGAATTGTAAACACATAATAATGCTATACAGCCATGTCAAACACTAAAGCTGATATCCTTGACTTTGCCCAAAGAGCAATGTAGTAATTGTGGCTTAACTCCGTATTTTCATAAAGGCTCCTGAGCTGGGAAAATACTGAGTGCTATTAATACAGACTAAAGCAGCCCTAGTAAGCCCTCCAGAACCAATAATCAGTTTTCAAGGTCCTGTGTGCCTTGATTTCCATGGCCTGGCTCCTGTTGGAGTACACACAGAGTTTTCTGTGGCAGTGAAGATCCCAGGTCTACCATAAATCATCTTCTGGCTTTCAGATGTGGGAAGAGGATGGGCTTGTGAGGCCTGAATTAGGGAATTTTAGTTACATCCACAATGTCTCATAAACAAAAGCAGGTTAAGTGAGAAGACTATCAACCTCCATCCCTTAGTAATAACTACTGAAACACTCAAGCCTCATACCTGTTACACTGCCGAGGCTATCAAATAAGTAGTGCCTCTGCAGCACCCACTTGCATGACAGTACCTGAGAGGAACAAAAGAATTCCCTCTATCTATGCATTAGCACACATGTGTCTATGAAAAAAAAATGGTGAAAAAGAAAGGGAAATGTAAAAGTAAATCAGCAGTATTTGCCAGTAAAACTTGCAAACAATTTACTATGCAGTGAAGACTTGATCCAAAGCCCACTGAGGTCAATGGGCTGAGGATCAGATTCTTAATTCAGCTTTTGGAGTTAATTCATCTTTGAACTGACAATTATATGTTTAGGCTCCAGTCTCCATGTATATCTTATTTGCCTCAAAGTTCTGTCCAGTCAAGTTTTGAATACCTCTGTAGGCAGAGATTCCATAGCCTCCTTGGGCCTCTGTGTCACTGTTTGGCCACCTTCATGATGAAAAAATATTCTAGTATCTTAGAAATATGGATATTTATTAAAAAGATATTAAAAGCTTTCATATATCATAATTCTCATAACAAAAAGGAACAGAAGCAGATAATGAAAGAGCGATATATCGAAAAGAGCCAAGAACAGATTCATGAAAGCAACTTAGGTTTGACTATATCAAAACAGAGCTGAAACCTGTTGACTTTTACACAAATATGCTCAGACAGCATCTTGCTGAGGAACTGCTCACCTGATCTCGGGAATATGGGGTATCCACTATGTGTCTGTCTGAACATGCTGCAAGAAGAATCTTCATTGCATTTAACTGGAGCAATATTTCACAAGACATGGTATCAAAGAAAGTAATATTGGCAAGAGCTGCTGAGGCCAGCAGGAAAACTTCACCAGATGAGGCTTCTTGGCACAATTCTATGAATGCAAAAATGAATAAAAGTCATTGCTTCATTGCAAAAAGCGTGGTTAGGTGTTTCAAGGCAACATTTAAGCATCTGCAACTTGTATGAGTAATCTTAGTATCTAAGACCAACTTCATAGTAATCAAGGTAAAAAAAACAAAATAAAACAAACATCTTTATTTTGTCAATTATATAATATGATATAATCCTTTAGGTTGGAAAAGACCTTTAAGATTATCAAGTCCAGCTGTTAACCTAACACTGCCAAGTCCACTACTAAACCATGTCCCGAAGTACCACATCTAGAGGAGGTCTTTTAAATACCTCCAGGGATACTGAATCAACCACTTCCCTGAGCAGCCTTCCCAAACGCTTGACAACCCTTTTGGTGAAGGGTTTTTTCCTAATATCCAGCCTAAACCTCCCCTGGTATAACTTGAGGCAATTTCCTCTTGTTCAATTATTTATTACCTGGGAGAAGAGACTGACACCCATCTCACTACAAACTTCTTTCAGGTAGTTTGCAGAGAGTGATAAGGTCTTCCCTCAGCCTCCTCTTCTCCAGACTAAACAACCCCAGTTCCCTCAGCTGCTCCTTCCTTATAGAACTTGTTCTATAGAGCCTTCACCAGCTTCGTTGACATTCTTTGGACATGCTTCAGCACTTGATGTCTCTTTTTTTAGTGAGGGGCTCAAAAACAAACACAGTATTTGAGGTGCAGCCTCACCAGTGCCGAGTACAGGTGAATGATCACTTCCCTACTCCTGCCTGCTGCACTGTTTCTGATACAAGCCAGGATGCTATTAGCCTTCTTGGCCACCTGGGCATATGTCACACTCCAGGGTGTAATTAACATAATTAACATTATGCACTTTCATTTGAACCACAAAACCAGGGAAAAATGGTAAACATGAACTTAGAAACCAAGCATTTCTTACATTCATCTAATCAACGAGGTAGTCTACCTGGTATAGCATTCTACAGGGAATATTCCACTGAATGCTGTTCAACATAAAGCTTGCTATAAATAAATAATATGAAATACAGGATGCAGAAGGCTAACAGAAACTGATCCGTAAGAGAATAATTCTGCTATATATCCTATTCTTTAGAACAAGATAGGTATATATGTTGCCTACCTCTAAACCTATTTCTCTACAGATCATTCTGCACATTTTTCTGATTTAATACAGGTGCTGAAGAGACTGCTAACTTTCGATTCCTTGCACACATGTAATTTAACTAAGATCTGAATCACCTGATAATTGGATTTCAGCATGGTCTAAAAATTAGACATGTTGCAGTAATTCAATTACAGAGTTACAAATATCACAGGGAAACTGGTGTGTGTTTACTGAAACAGCTCTTCCAAAGTTATACATGTTCTATTCTTAATGCTTATATTTCTTGGGAACAGTATATAAGCCTAAAGTTCCCATGGAACTTAAACAGTGACAGCTGGGGAAATGTTCCACCTGCTAGTATCTTCTGGATAGGCTGTTCAGATTGTCCCTTGACCATGGTACACAGAAATAACCTGGAAATTCCTCGGAAGTCAGGTTGGATGTCTCTAGCAGTCTAGCTACAGCAGAACCAAGCTCAGCACAAGTTAATTCCACCCACGGGATTCAGGGCAAGCTCAGGGCCGAACCTTCAACATTTGTTGCTGTACAGTCTGGTCATCAAGAAGAAATTGCTTCCTTGATTTCAGTACTAGCTCTGCATGGGCACATTGAAGAATATCTAAATAACTGTCAGATAATTCCCAGCCATCACTGGCACTACCATATTCTTTTATTGTTCTATTAAAGAAAAAGAACCCAAACAAAACCAAAACAAAAAAAAAAACAAACAAAACCAAATGAACAGAAAACCCGATAAAACCGAAAAAAAAAGAAAAACAAAAAAAAACAGCAAACAAAAAACCAATCCCAAAACAAAACCAACATACATGAAAATTGAAGTCCTGTAGTTTAACTGTAACCATTGGGCTCAGTAGAGAAATATTCAGATGTGTTGACCTATTATACATGAGAACTCAAATTCAATGACCTAAACTGTACTTTCTGACATAAAGCGCTGGGAAACTGAATTTCCAGATCAGAGAGGGGAAGACAGCACTTGACTGAAAGATTCTGAAATTTGAGAGAGATGCAGCCCTATGACAGAAATAAGAGTCCTTGCTTTACAAAGTCATGAGAAATATCATCTTGTCATTCTGAAGTATCCTCACTGACCCAGCTTAAGGAAACGTTTGCCATTACCTTTGCCTGATTTTACCATGGATCAGAGGCCTAGACAAGAAAGATAGATCTGTTATTTTCTCATAACAATGCCCATAGATTATACTATACTGTAGTTTTCCTCTGAAGTATCATACGAACGTAGATGCAGTGATGAGCTTGAGTTCTAGCATATTTAGAAAATACAAGAAGCATAATGTTTAGTAACTTAGCTGAATTTGTTATGTGGCTCTTATGGTAGAATTTTATACAGTATTATTTTGATAAATATGCATTAATTCTATCCAAATACGGACTGGAGTAAAAAAACTATATAATAGCAGAATGTTCTGATTCAGAATTTAAAATGACTGAGTTATTTTATCTGTTAAGGAAAAAAGGGAAAACATAATTTAGGAAACATTTCTAAAGTCCTACCCCAGCATGTTATTTTGACTAAAAAGACACAGAAGTCCCATAAAGAACTTACTGACAAGTGCTGTTAAAATTTCTTCCATATTTTCCAGGAAGCTGCTGAGATGTTGTGTGAAAGTGAGATGCGGAGAGGTGATTTGTGCAATTACTGCTGCTGCTTCTGCATGAGTAGCTTCAGAATGGCTGTTATCAGTAAGAATGTCAGCCAGGCACAGTATTCCATCAACCTATGGAAAAACAATAGGTACAAGTTGGAAATACTCCAGGAAATACTTTTGCAACTAAAGATGGGTTTGCAATTATTTTTTCTCGGTTGTGGCTAAACTACCCAGTTTATTTTCAAAGATGACTTGAACTTGTTGGCATTTATGACATAAGAAGTTTCAGTTTAGCAAATACAAATGAGTTCAGCATAGAAGTTTGTTGACCAGCAGTAAGCCTTGCATTTCCTTCCCCCTTAATGTTTCTTCTGAATTTATTTTGGTCAAACAAACAAGTATTTTCTGGCAAACATCTCAAGTTAAACATGAATCCAAAAATATGCTCTGATAAGCAAATGCTGACTGCCAATACGCCACAGCCTCATTTAAGCTCCTGTCTGAGTGTGTCCCACTGCAAAACTCAAGCCTGAGTGTGCGACAAGTTCTTCAAAGACTTTTTTTTTTTTCATTTTTTTCTGAACCTTTCACAAAGCCAATGCAGGATCAAAAAAATACTGTTTGGGAGAGACCCTGGCCAAACTGCACTTGATGAGCTTGCACAGCGCTCACATTAAAGCTAGGTCAATATATCCCTTGGTCACTTGGAAGAGAAACAGAAAAATAAGTAAAATCTACCTCAGTTTATGCTTTTAGAGTGTCTGAAGTGTTCTAAACTCATTCATTACACATTGTAGGCATGTATATCACATATGCACACCTTGCTCTGGATTATAGGAGACCCACTGACACAGTGAAAGACCACAGTAGAGCATAACCAAAGGCATAGTTTAAATTGCAAGAACATATCATCTGTTAACAACCACAACCAGAAAAGCAAGTTTCTCTGTAGGCAATGGCATAATCTGTAAACGTTCAAATTAACAGGACTGTGATTCACCCCTTGTTTAACATATCACTGAATGATTCATCGCATTGTCAAGCAGGTAGGTAGACATGCTTAGAGGAGACAAAACATGAAGTTTTATGTAATTAATTATGGATGTGCTTAAGTCAAATTCACATAAATGCACTAATTAAAATCTTTATATGAATAAAACTAATGTAACTATAGGGACAGTTTACAAATATGATCAGAGCTTTCACAAGCTTCACTGAGTACTTTAAAAACTGGACTTTATTTATTTATTTATTTGAATTTCTGAAAAAGTGTGGGGCCAATTGCCTTATATGTTGCTTGGACACTACCGATACAGAGGAGCTACAAAAGCTTGGCACTGAAATATACTGTTTCTGTCAAGTGAAAACAAGCCCACATTTGCGTTGTACACTAACCAAGACTATTTCTTATGTTTCTTGTTCACTCTGCATTCTCCTTCTATTCAAAGCTTCCTCAAAACATGCATGTTATATCCCACCCATTATCTCCAGAAAGCAAATCTCTTATTCACGCTTTTGTTATTTATTAATACAGAATGTTGAGTTACCATAATTACTTACCCTGCAGTGGGCATGGATTAAATTATTTGATAAGTACTGACAGTTACTGTATTTTACAAGAAAAGCTCTCAGATCAATGGGAGCAAAAATTAACCTCGGGAAGATCATTCACTGGGATGCACTTTTTAACAGGCAATAGACTATATCATTGGAACCCTAATAACAGAGATAAATACAAAAGAAATTTTATCTCTATTTTTCCTCAGATTACAAATGGGATTTAGTGTAGAAGCTTAAGTACTGGCAAGAAGAGGAGGAATAAATTTTCAACACTTAACTTTTTCTTGACAAGCTTTCAACATTAATCTACCTACAAAAAAATATTTCCTCCTAGTTATGGCAGAATTCTACAGCTTGAAAGAGCAGATTCACATAATTCACTTGGCTTCAAGGTATATTAATAGATCTTGGTGTCAAGAATTAATATATGTCCTCACAAGATGATTTAGTAGCCAAAGTGTGCTAGACTATCATAGGCAAAACCCCCCACCTTTGCCACCTTGAAACCTCCCCAGATCACACCTTGTGTGGGGTCTGAAGGATGCTAATAACAACAGTCAGTATAAAAAGTTAAATATATTCCAAGGTATTCAAAAAATACTTCACTAGAAATTTCTTCCAAGATCTGGCAACAGGATACAGCATTCTTCACCTCAGAATTTACAGGCTAAAATTCATTTGGCCATATCCCACTCCATGACCTTGACAGAACTATTTTAGTGTAGTTTTATGCTATTTCAGAACAAGTAATGTCTTATGAAAGACAGGTACAAGCACATGGTTAGATTTTTCCATCACCACTGTTTGTTTGTATCTACACTATAAAATAAAGGCTTCTAACAATACAGGGTTGTACTCAACTTTTAAATCAGATATTTGGGGGTTTTTATTTGCCAACTAGCTTTCTTTTTTTTTTTGAAATTGTGAGTTGCTGAATTGTAAGTAGAAGTGGATATATGTTTATATTCAGCAGAAAGGTAAAATACATATCTTTTTCCTTGAAAGCCAGCACTAGCTACTTTCATTTGTATTCAGAATCATGTAAAATACTATCAAATTCAGGCTAAAATTTGCTCTGTACACTTTTGTCTGCATTCTTAAATATAGAAAATAAAATAATTCTACTTCAGCGGGCAACCCCATTTATAAGTATCTAGCAATAAATTTTAAAATTACAAGGGAACAATCTAATAAAAGCACTTTAACATCCAAAAAGAAATTGCTGCTCAAAGCATTTTTATAATTAGCTTTCACACTGAAAGGAGCTTTGGATGGCTGCCCTGTTTTCTGTTTAATTTTGGTGAAGTAATCAGCTAAAAGTCAAATGTGTTCATTACCTTGGCAATACAAAAGAACCAGTTAGCCAGATAATGAAAACAAATGAATTCCATGAATGCAACAAGATGCTGTGGAGACCTTGCATTTGAGGAATGGCATTCAGTAAATGCTTGATCACTAAAATTTCAATATTGATAACTGGAAAAATGCCAGGAATTTACATCCTTATGAGCATAGCCCTGTTACAGAAACTTAATCCAATGACAAATGTGAGAGCACTTTACTGCATAGATCAAGTCTTCTGAAAGGAAATAATTCCTTTTCTCTGCAACAGGAATGAATGAGGTCAGGGGCAGCCCTCTTCTTTCTTCAGGATGCCTGTTCTTAGGCATCTCTTAAAGATACCAATACTGAACTTGAATGAACTGTATAAATTACTTCATGATTTTAAATGTTACACACAACAATCTTAAGTCTCTGCTTTCCACAAGAAGGTTCAAGGCAGGCTTTCCATGCCATGCTGGGAACCAAGACTCACTGCCTGTTTAATAATGCCTGTCTTCATTTGTGTGGAAAGCTGCTGAAGGCCTTTTCTCATACTATAACTTTCTCTAACATTCCTGTTTGCCCACTTTTAACATTTGATGATCTCTATGTGTTGGTAAGTTTTCTCAGAGTTTTGTTTTGGTTTTTTTGTTTGTTTGTTTGTTTGGGTTTTTTGTTTGGTTTTTTTTTAATTCTCTTTATTGATTTCCCAAAGAGGGTAGAGGAGAATTTCAAAAGCAGAGGCTGCATCAAGCAGTCATGAACTGACAAATCAAGAGTTGTGCTTTTTTATCCTTTCATACCTGTATTAGCACCTCTAACTTGAAACTAGGACAGGTTAACTGTATAGGTGAAGACATGAACATTAGTAGACTAAATAGAAAATGCATAGCTAGATAAAAATCCAAACACATTAGGATTTATTGGATAAGGAAGATGGAAACAGAGAAGGAAGGAAGGAAAAATTACCATATTCAGAAAATGTTTGAATCCCCTACTCAGCATTCTTTGAACACAATCTACTTCACTCCCAAACTGTCGCACAAACCATGGGGTCACTTCACTACTCTGCTACTCCATTGAAAATGTCATCCAGCAAAATCCGTATATTGATATTTTAATGACTTGTTACTCGTTAAATGAATTTCTGATCATCAAAGCTGAGGTATATCTTATGTCAACTTCTGTAACTTAGCCTGCAACTGTAGAAGGCCTGCAAGTCTCGTTTAATTTCTATGTTGAAAGAAAGGAAAGGAAAAGATCAAATGTATACCTTACACACAATTTTTCGTATTTGAACATTTTCCCTGCAAAGTGCTCTGCAGCTAAAAACTGCTTTAGCTCCACTGAGAACTTTGGTGATTTATACCAAATGAAGGTCTGGTCAGCTATTTTTAGAGTGAGATGGCATATTAATAGAGTGATGCCATTAAAATGTCCACAAATACTATTCCAAGTAATCAAAGCTACTGCAGCAATTTCATGGCAGCAGCAGTGACCAGTGAACAAAACTGTAATGATTTTTATAACTACTGCTGTACAACAGTGGCCATAGGACCTGATTTACGTGCCATATTGTATACCCTACAGAATAGTGTGGGGCTGGATAAAGGCTGAATGGTTCCCAAATCAGTAGCTTTAAAAGTGCTGGCAATAACCTTAGCTGTGTATCTAAATTGGCTGTGGGTGGGTGCTTTTTTCATGGCATCTTCAACTAAGGATTCCCTTTTAAACTCCCCTCCTTCAGAACATGGTCAAGCTAATGAAGAGGTATTTGTTTTGCTTTATGTTCTGCCATCAAGGGAAAGCATAAAGATGATCAGATCTATATGTGAAGTACTGTTATATGGCATGAAAAAAAAAAAAAACTCAACCTCCTCTCAAAAAAAAAACAAACACCAAAAAAACCACCTCCCCCCCAAAAAACAAAACAAAACAAAAAAAAACAACATTTGGCTGTATCAGCTTGAAGGATGCACTAAATGTAGCAATGCCTGAGTACAACCTTGCAGCCTTGCTGCAGGAAGAAACAACCTGCAGAGCAAGATGAAATAACAAGTTCCTATTTCTAGGCTGACTGGGACTGAAAATATAAATAGTATGTAAACTTTTTCTCTTTATTAAACCTAGGGAAAGCAGTCAAACAGTTATTACACAGTGCATGTTCTTCGGCACTCAGTGATACTCTGACACTCTTGCAGATAAAAAGTATAACTGCTTGTCAAAGAGGTAGTAGAGAATAAGTC